CGAGCTGGTCAAGATCCTGAATGAACGTAAGGACCGCGACAACGCCGAAGAGGCCCGGCGGCAGGCAGCTGCTCGTGACGCGGAGGTCATCGGGCAGCTGATGCGCGAAGAGCGTGATTAGAACCGTCCAGAAGTAATATTCTGCGTTCTATACTAACTTGGCACTGTATCGTATTCAATGACACTACGCCAGTAAATCCCCGCGTATCTCGCATCAGGACGACTCACTGGGACGACATCTAGCTCCGAGGGGTCCAATGAAAGCCACCCTGGGCACTTAAGAACCTAGCATTATGGGACATTTGCAGATACCATCCAAGGTTCAGTAGGTCTCCAATTTACAATTATTGTAAAAGATGCCTGGTGCTGATGAAAGATCAGACTGGGTGGAACACCGAGCTGTGAGGAGCTCTTTCGGCTATCCCAGAATTATTTTTGGAGCAAAGCTACAGACCACCCCCGTTGCTTTCAGAGCAAATAAAGAATACGGCTTACGTCCTGTGTAACAAAACTTGGCCCCTGGTACCACACCCACCAACCATTCAAAGCAATAAAATTTGGGGAGGGGGGGAGGCTGGTGATTGCATGGCCAATGATAGTACATATAGAGTAAATTTTCAACCCGTAAGCAATGCGGGACACTCCCGAAGTTTTTGACAGCCAAACACCCTCGGAGAACATGTTGTATGTACGAATTGAGGGGAAACCAGAGTCCAGAGGGTTTTGTTGCCTTTTATGTAGTACCTACCGAAAATCATGCACGAATATCAGACCTGTAATCAACGTTAACGTCTGTTCATGCTTGCCAGCGTCAGAACCTCCCAAAAGATTATGAAGAACGATAGTCAGATCAGATTTAAAATAAAAAAACGTATTTGATGGTAGATTCATTACATTATTTTGGGTATCATTCCGAAAACCTGGCAGTAGTTATAATTAAGTGCTTTCACTGTGTCTCAATATGCTGCTGTAATATGTTGCCTGAACTTGTCGAAGAATCCAGACTTCGCCGACTTGAATGCCCCCACTCCTACCCTTTCCTGTTTTCCTGGTTTGGACAAACCGAGTTTCGTCTTGATGGCCCATATCGAATCTGCTTTGCGGAGCAGCGGGCTCCTCCTATTCCACCTCTTCTCTGGCATATCCTCGTTTGTCGTCCTGTCGCTATCCACGAGATCGCCTTCGGATGAGAACTCCTCTAAACCCTTTGCTGTACTTTCAGCTGCTAACACGGGTAGTTGGTCACGGTAAGCCGAGGACTTCACGCTGTATAATGCGGCAGCCGGCTTCTGAGGCACGGGATGGCTTGGCGCACTTGCCCCTAGCGTAACTCCAACTGATAACACTAGATGCGATGGTTGGTGAGCGCTGTCGTCTCTCGATCTCAGAGGAAACACGCGGTTCGCCGTCTGCGTTTGTGTTATTGTTGCTCCTCCTCCTCCATGCGCAGTGTTTTCCTGCGTTGATTGGGCGTCTCTTGATGCCTTGGCTGCCGCCTCCGCCCTCGCTTGTGCCTCCTGGTGTTGCAGTAGCTCGCGTTGCCTCTTCTCCTCCAGGACCTTCTGCTCTGCGACTACGCGATTGAGGCGCCGGCGCAGGTCTTCAGCGTCGACGGGTTGTGAGATCTGCTTGCGCTGTCTCTTCGCGCCATGCTGCTGGTTGGCCTTTGAACCCGGGCGAAACATGTGAGCACCGTTCTTGTTATTGGGCAGATTAAATGGTAGCATGACCGGGGATGATTTATGCAGGCACAGATTGACTGTCTTTGCGGATTTCAAAACCGGCAGTTGACTATATCGGTTTCCCTAAAACGGCCGTGCGGTATATATGCCACCTCATGCAAGTGAAACTGCCGACCAACTCCAAAGGGGCTGAGAAAGTTGTTGTTTCCTTCACTCGTCAACTGTTCCGTGACGGGTAGGATATTTGAGTGGAAGTAAGTCTGGTGTTCACGGGAGGTAGCTTGTTTCCTCTCACACCCTGCACGTTGTACAGGAGATTAGCGTGGATACTTGGGCCTAAGGACCAGTCCTAAGTTGCGCTCGTCGCTCTAGACCGTTCAGAGGGAGGCGAATATTGTAAACTGGGGGTAGAAGTTGCGAGTTGGAAAGGAAGGGGAAGATGATAAAAACAGACATGGTTTTAAGAAAAAACCCTCCATAGCCACCCCGTCAGCGGTGGGCAAGCCTCCTAAGATAAAGCCCAGCCATGGTGACACCGCAAGACACCATCAGACGATAGGGCGATCAGATGCTCTCCGAGGAACTAATGCCAAGGTACTGGTCGCACTGACAAGGGACCTCTCAGTGTCTCGCAACCTGGGGAGATGGAGGGGGGCGGGACGGATCCCGGGGGGAGGGGGGGCGGGCTTGCTGGCCACCAACAGGAACGCGGTGGAGCTCTCCACTGATCCACCTCCTGAACGCTCACTGGACTGCTGACTCGGCTCTGGACCAGAATGCAGAGCAGCACGGGCTAAGCACTTTAGGAACAGCTTCCCATTCAATAGATCTGGTGCCCCGTTCACTAAGATGCATGTGCATGCTGGTTCGGGAGGAGGTGCGTGACCACAGAACCTGCCTTTCGCTTGTGGTCACGCTGGAACGTGACCACCAGTCATCGTCAGTCAGTCATTCGCTATTTGACCGGGTGGTGACACGGGCTCTCTGTTTCTTTTGAGTAGTGAAAACCCTGTGGAGCCAACTCTTATTACTTGCCCTGGTTCTGGTTCGGACTATTGAACGCGGACCTCGACGACCACATAATCCACTGCCGATTCCTCCAGGTATTTTCCGACGGCATCCCGAGCCCTGCCAGTGATGGGATATGACTTTGTTTGGCTGACCAGGGCGTGGTTGTCTCGACAAACCTGCGGGTCAAAATACAGCCCCATGTCTTTGCACGCACCTTCCAGGGTCTTTCGTTACAAGCCCAGTCATGTATGAATGTGGATATCTTATGTACGGTCCCGTATACATACCTAAGTAATTAGACCCTGCGCAGTGCAGCGCTGTAACGCTAAGGCTCAGCACATTTGATCGATGAGCCATACCTGGACAAAGTTCCAGCGGTCAAGGACGCCGTTTCAACATACATTGCACTATCATTTCCGATCTAATGCGCGAGTTGCACTGCTAACAAGTCCACTTTCCATATCTGTTTATTAGCCCTACCGGATAGATTCGATTGCTTAATTCTATTTATTAGCTGTAAAGATCTCATGATGAGTCTCCGTGACCGTTGGGGAATTTGCAACTAAAACCCACCCGGTGGCTCTAGCTGAAGCAGTCCACGCGACTGACATCCGTCCTGGAGGCCTTCCAGTGATGAGTGAAAGAGAGGCCGCTGTCCCCTGTTCTGTCCCGAAACGGGGGCGTGCAGAGCGCTGATCCGCTTTTCCCTAACGTTAGCCACTAAAACAAACTTTGCTGTACTCACTTCCCCATGTGAGCATCCAAGGTCGATTACCTACCCTTCCAGCCTTCTGAGTAGCCAGCCAGCCCAAGGTAGAAAGATGTTGCTAATTCTAAGTAAGAAATCCAACATAACGTGCTCCTACTATGCAAGCTTTCTGATGGCTACATCCAAGGACCCGAAATAGAGTCGCCGTAAGCTGGGTTGTGCACACCAAGGTAAGCTCTGGGAGGGGAAGTATTCACGACAAGCCGCATAAGCCCCCCAATAATAGTGAAAGAGGCGAGTAATAACATGCATGCATGGGGTCGATATTTTCTAGGATCGAATTCGCCCTCGCCCTATTCGGACCACTTAGCTGGGCAACCTGACCTGTAACCTACTCGCGGAGATGTTTTCACGCCCATGAGGCAACCTACCAAGATTTAGAACTCTCTGTATTTGCGCGCCTTGCCGATGCTCTGAGCCCGCGAATGGATGGCGATAAACGCATTTGGTATGTCTGCAGACCGCTTTGCTAGCGTGCTATACAGCAATAACTTCGACCACCATTAACTGTGAGTTTAGATAGTAATTAATAATTGGTCATTAAGCCAAGCAGATTGGCAAATAAATCGCCTATCAAGCTCTACAAATATCCACAGATAGGCGCCGATATCCCATAAGATTTGCTGCACAGATTACAGAACTTTACTACTGCAAGTCCCCACTGAACCATTATCAACCATCTCTAAGCCATTGCACTATAGCACCGACTAGGGATAGTTGGATACGTGTACTGGGAAGCCGGGTGGGCAATTTGCTGCTGAGAACTTTGCGCTTCTCTCCATGAGTAACAGCACATGCCAAATATCAGATGGGCAACGTTGTTGACCTATGCTTTGTAGCAATGCTGCCTTCCTACTGGTTCGGTGAAGAATAACAGGTCAATTTCAATCGTTCTCGGTCGCCGCACACAGACATACAGCAGGATAACTCCAAATGATAATGCCTGTGCCAATAGTGGACCACATCTCTACTACCCTGGTGCCTGGGCTTAAGCCAGAGGATCAAAAGGCTCGTGTGGAGCCAACTCAGACCACGCCTTCGGCGGGATCCGAGTTTGGTGGCACGCAATAGTAGGGTGATGGTTCGAGAAACCTGTTATAATCGGGATGAATATAATGAATGAGTAATGGAAGCAACTTTCGAGTCGTAAGATATGACCAGTTCACAAGATTTAAGCCTTTTCTTTTCTTAAATGAGACACATAGCGGCTTGTCAAAGACAAGATCGGAGATGATTCTGTTATTATGTCTCACACGCACCTGCAAAGGAAATTCTCAGCAGCAGCGCTGACCCAAGACATCGCCGCCAAGGCTGGCGGTGAATTACGTCCGCCAAGAAATAGCACATCGGAAGCCATCTTCTCTATGAAAAGAAAAGCGGCAAGGGTAATCAAAATAAAATAGGGGACGGGGAATAAAAATAATCGGGGAAAGAAACGAGGGGGGCCAAAAAAAATAGAAGAGCGTTGAGAAATGCTGACCAGCAGCTGCCATCATAGGTAGATAGATTTTCGTGGATAGGGATTAAAAAAGAATTTGCTCTCGATCGGGGAATTGAACCCCGGTCTCCAGCGAGTTCAAACAATGTTTGGTGACAAGCTGGCATACTGACCACTATACTAATCGAGATTAAGCTGTTAAGCTATGATGGTTGAATTCAGGGAAACTTAACTCATTTTATTAAGCTCACTAATTCTATGTGGTTCGTCACCCGCGGAACGCCACCTTTCCCCCCACCCCCACCACAGCCCACATTATAGTTTCCTGCTATCGTTATTGTAACTGCCCCTCCTCGTTTGGCAACTCAAAGCTTCAGATAAGGACGGATCTGATATTTGTATGCTTTCCGTGGAAGCACAACGTAACGATAGGGAATTACCAGAGGATACCGGGCCAGCTTGAAAAGCTCAAATACTCCAAATCTTTATAGACGCAGCAGCAATGGCTCATTCTCATTCGCACGATGGTCTCACAAGCCATTCTCACTCTCACGAAGGCATCTCGGCCGCTGACCATGGTCACTCTCATGAGATCCTTGACGGTCCCGGCAGCTACTTAGGTAGAGAGATGCCCATAGTTGAAGGGCGAGATTGGAGCGAGCGAGCTTTCACCGTTGGTATTGGCGGGTGCGTATGAATGCTTGGAGCATCCTTCTCCAAATTAGTCGAAGCAAACATCAAGGCCCTCTTCACAGCTTGATTCTTTGCTAATTCTTGTATTTCTTATATTCAAATCTACCTATCCTCCTACCTCTTTGTTATTCGTGTTACCCAGCCACTTTGAACTTTTGAAAGTGGGAATATACTGTATAACTTGGAAAAAGAGCACTTCAGCTAACATGGCACCTTTTTGTTTAGCCCCGTGGGTTCCGGCAAGACTGCGCTCATGCTAGCACTCTGCCTTGCACTCCGCGAGAAGTACTCCATTGCAGCGGTGACTAACGACATCTTCACACGCGAAGACGCCGAGTTCCTCACTCGGCACAAGGCACTACCAGCCCCGCGCATCCGCGCCATCGAGACTGGCGGCTGCCCCCACGCTGCCGTGCGTGAGGACATCTCAGCTAACTTGGCGGCGCTCGAGGACCTCCATCGCGAGTTTGCCTCAGATATACTACTCATCGAGTCCGGCGGTGACAACCTCGCCGCCAACTACTCGCGCGAGCTTGCCGACTACATCATCTACGTCATCGACGTGAGCGGTGGCGACAAGGTGCCTCGCAAGGGCGGCCCCGGTATCACCCAGAGCGACCTTCTCGTCGTCAACAAAACTGACCTCGCCGAGGCCGTGGGTGCCGACCTGGGCGTCATGGAGCGCGATGCGCGCAAGATGCGTGAGGGCGGGCCCACCGTGTTCGCGCAAGTCAAGAAGGGCGTCAGCGTCGACCACATCGTGAGCCTCATCATCAGCGCCTGGAAGGCTAGCGGCGCTGAGGACGAGAGGAAGGCACAGGGCGGTCCGAGACCGACTGAGGGTCTCGAGACGCTAGTATAAATAAATTACCGGTTGGTTACTGCGAAAGACATCTGTTGCATCTGCAAAACAGCCTAGGCTCCCAAGATGCCAGGCAATTAGGAATGTAGAGGACAGAAAAGGAAGAAGTTAAAAAGAAGTGGTGGTTGCAGTAAATATGGTCATTAAAACCAAAACAATACCATAGGACGGTTTTTGTTAGGTCTAATCCATGTAGCCTTTGTGAAGGCAAGTTGTGCTCACTTCTAGGTAGTTACGAAGGATGAATTGCTGCTTCGCATATCTGGAACGATAATGGATAGCTTTCAACAGGATTCATGTAGATTGCGAAGTTGTTTTTCATACGAGCGTGTAGGTGCAAAACCTTGAAATACGTCCGAAATATTTATAATAGACCTTCGGTCTGATTACTCGTGATGCAGTTACCTCAAATGTTCTTTCTGCACATAGAAAGCATGTATTTTCAGAACAGCCTTGACAGCACTGCCAATAGTGCGACGCGTCATGAGAATCGTCATTGAACGAGTATATTCCGACTTTCTATGAATGGGTATCCACTTGACTTGATCAATAATTACAGTCAATAGTAAAGATTAGTACAACAACCTGAAAGCCGCCGAAGCCTAGCATTTGTATGAAGCCGTCCTTCAGCTACATTGTATATCAAACTCTCCGATGCCCTTGCTAAGCTCGTCCAGAGCCTTGTCGAAATCCTGACCAATGTGCTCTGCCAATTCCACTTGTCCGTGTTTGCTGAGATAGCTCTTGACGTCCCCCATAACCGTGAGCGTCCTTCCATCGTTCAGACCCCATGTGTCTATGCAGAAGCGGAGGACCCTATGGCCCGCAGCCATCGCCTGCTGGTGATCCCCTTCGTCCCGGGCCAGGGTAAACAGGTGACGATAAATCGAAGCGCGCAGGAGCGGGAAGTCGTCGAGTGTGGGGGACTTTAGAGATTCCATAAGGATATCTCTCGCTTCCTGGAACTTGCCCTGGGCCGAGCACATGGCAGCGAGGTCATCGCGGCTGTCTAGATAGATGGCCTCTACTTTTTGCTCGCCTCTATATGGCTCTAACCTGTCAAGTAAGTCCCGTATGATCTCTTCGGCGACATCGAAGCCGTGCATGCCAATATTTGCAAACTGGAAGGTCATGAACACCTGGCTATCGATCATGGCGATGCTGCCTTCTTCGCGCTGACAGAGCTCTACATAACAACTGGTCAGCACAGCTGCACTCTCCCTTGCCGCGTCAGGGCCCATTCGAAGAAGTATATCAAATATTGCACCCAGAGGGTGAGAGGGCTCGTGCACTATGCGTGATAGCTCGGTTATGTATCTGAGAAAGGACCTGTAGAGGTCCGGGTGTTCGTGGGCGAACAACAGCGCGACAACGAATGTGTACAAGAAGAGCAGCGGGCTCTGGGCGGCCAAAAGTGGCTTATATTCGTGGAAGCATTTGTGCAGCAGCCGGAAGGCTGATTTTGTTTGTCCCGTCCTCAGCAACTTCGTAGACACAGCTGCCAGGTTCCAAAAGTTAAACAGCTGCCCCGCCCTGAGGATCTCGCGCGGATTCACGTTCCAGATCCCCGTGTCGATGGCGCCATGACCATAATGTCGCATGGCATAGATGCACTCCTCAGGAATACGAAGTTCCCCTGGCGACATAGACTGCGACAAGCGGCATATCTGCGGTTCCGGCGATGGTGTCCGACAATATATGTCGTCGACTGGTCTTACGCGCTTCAAATTTCCCGAATTGCCGTAGACGATACTGGTCATCTCCGCGTATTTCTCCGGCGACAGGTTCTGAATATATTTCCTAAGGCGCCTGTCGTCGACGACCCTCCCTCTGATGAGGCGCACCGAATCCTTGCCCATCGCTGCACGTGTCGTGTTCTGACGAAGCAACTCGCAAACCTGATCAAATCGCAGAGTTTTTTGAAGTCCCCATTTCTTGAATCTAGTCTTGTACATTCGCGGGCTGCCGAAAAATCAAAATCCAAGAACCGTGGGAGAGGTGAGGTGAGGTGAGGTGAGGTGAGGTGAGGGGGTCAAGAGGCTTCCTAGGACTTACGTGGCGAAGAAATTGTGGTTGTTTTCCATCATCTTCATGATATCCTGCAGCTTCATATTTCTGTTCTCGTACAAATCGCTAATGGTTGAGCGGTGAGCCTCCCATGCCTGGGGTGAGGCCCATTCCGCATTGGTCGTCGACATTGTAGGCGCCGCTTGCAGAAAGGCAGCGGGAGCCAAAAAATCCCCATGGAGGGGGGACGGAATCTGCACGCAGAATATTTTAGCTTTCCCTCGGGGGTTTTAATTTTTGGGGAGATGCGCAATGTTATATTGAGCCTGCAGCACGGCCTGCTTGATTACATCGGGCGGGGGTGGTTAAAGGGCGTGAGGGGGGCTTACCAGAAAGGAAACTCTGGTGAACGACTGGGCGGGTGACACAGGAGCCCCCAGGACAGGACTTGGGACAGGATGTTGCAAGGTTTTACGCGTATAACTGAGGCGAACCTCAAAAGATACATATTGCTAGTGCTGTGAAAGATACCATGTACATGATCCTAGGGAGGGTGGGCAAGGGTTACATTGTAATGTGAGGCGCATGGTGCTGTGGCTCCGTCTGTAGCGGGGTGTTCATTTGGGGGTTCTGCAGCGAAGTTCAGTGCCGAGCTAGGTTACTACCATCAACAGATTACCGTGTAGTCAATCATAAACTGCTGCACGTACATCAATGATTTTGTGTGGAGGGCATTGTGAGACTTTTCGCCCAATATTCAACATCCACAGAAACAGGTAACCGAGATCATTTTACTGTATACAGGTGGAGTTAGTTAGCGCTCACAACTCCTCACGATTACCTAATGCTTGCACGTGGTAACTCATAAACACCTCGGATGGTGTGTTACGGCTTCCATCGCCCGATGCCTTGGTAAATTCATTACTTCATGTCGTATCGGATCCTATTTACAACCCGTGTGTCGAGTCGAACAGCTTCTGCAATATTAAGCTTCTGGCACCTCTTCCTTGGTGTCACCGCATCGGGCAAGCTATCCCCCATATACAAGCTAACCCCGTGGCACCTCTTCCTTCCTGCCCAGAATCGAGACATTGCTATTCCATATCATTTCTCGAGATACTTACACATGCGGGAGGATTATGGACTGCATGTATTTTTTTTATTATATAATAGACCTTCGATCTGATAATACCTTACCCAAACTTGAGAGCATGCAGATCATATGATGAATACGATACGAGAGAAAGGTAGCACTAACCGGGTGAAAAAGTTAGAGGCGATTAAGGTACATAGGCAAGTAGTTCGAGCTTTCTTTGTGGTACCCAAAGATGGATAATAGCCGCTATGAGCCGCCGTGTTTCACCGGTGCAACAAGAATCGTCAATGACAGATGCCTTCCATAAGTGTAAGCGCACATGTACCAATCCGCGGGTGTGCGGCGGGTGCAGCATCAGGGAGGGCTCTCACAATCAGAACCCGAATCCAGTCTGGATGACCCCAGAGAAACTCATTGCATGCGCATAAAGCTAGCCTGTGTAGCCACACTTGCCCATTCGCGGAGATATCGGCTCTGAGACAACCCGAATGACTTAAACTGATCGCCTAGCATTGCTAGGCTCATATATACT